ATCCGATGTATATTTGACAGTTTGCGGTTATTAAAATAGAAAAGCACTAAAGGTTTTTCAGTTAGAGTGTTTTCAGCTTGTTTATTTTCATATAAAAATACGGCATGCAGTTGCATCAAACAATGGTATAAACATCATTCAATGTAAATTGTGATAATCGTAATTAATAATCGCAATTACAATTTCAAGGGAATAATCGAATCGTGCAGCCCTAACTGAAATAATCACTTGTTACAACTGAGGTATGCAGAAGAGCATCTCTGAACGCACAACACATTGAACTTTGAAGCAGATGGACTTCAGCAGCTCAATATAATTCACATGGGCTCACCAAAATTGGACAAGAGAAAATTGGAAAAGGGTTGCCCGAGTCTGGATTTCTGCTGACGAGTCTGATATGGACAGAATTTGGCGTAAACGACATGAAAGCATGGATCCATCCTGCCTTGAATCAATGGTTCAGGCTGCTGGTGGTGGTGTAGTGGTGTGGAGGATATTTTCTTGGCACACTTTGGGCTCAATACCAATTGAGCATTGTTGAAATGCCTCTGCATACCTGATTGTTGCTAACCATGTCTGTCCCTTTATGACCACAGACCCATGGCTACTTCCAGCAGGATCACACGCCATGTCACAAAGCTCGAATCATCTCAAACTGGTTTCTTGAACCTGAAAATGAGTTGACTACAGTCACCAGATCTCAATCCAATAGAGCAGCTTTGGGATGTAGTGTTTCCAGTTAGTTAAAAAGCAGGGATTGCAGTTAAAGTACTAATCAGCGTGCTTTGTTAATCAGCTCGCGCACATCAGCTATACAGGCGTTAATACTGAATGTTTAATATTATATTCATTGCATACATATACTTCGTAGTAGACATCCATAACTCCTTTCTGCTGTCTGTTGTCAGTGTTTCTTTGTTTAAATATGGCGCTTATCACATGCTGTGTGGTATCGGCGTTTGGTATCGGGGCATTTTGGCGAGTACGAGTACGAGTACAGGAGGCCAGTATCGGGCCCGATACCGATACCAGTATCGGTATCGGTGCATCCCTATTAAAAAGCATTCCCTGCAGTTAAAGTACTAATCAATTGAATGCACAGAACAGTATACATTTCTATAATTGACAGTAGACTAAATATTTTGCCACTTTTTACATTTATTTTCTTAAATTGTATGGACTTGAGTGTTCATAAAGCCCTATTACATTTATTCTCTGCAGTACTGATGGATGACTTTCTCCTTGGATTGAATCATTGTAGGATGCCAGTATTAGAAATGATCTACACTGCAGGAGATTCATTCAATCGGTGATTTCCGGTGTGGAACAGGCAAAGTAGGAAACTACATTTATGCTGTCATATATCTTCAGTTCTAGGTTATTTGTAGTATGTAGAGTTCATTTTAATGTTCTTGTTATACTGATGAAGAAAAAAAAAAGACTAGGATGTAATAGACAATGTGAAGAATTTTCTTGCTTTTCTTCTCCATGCAGGCCATTTGTGGACCATCCAGTCTAGAAAAAGCAGAGTGGATTAAACGCAGGGTTGGATGAATGTGATCCTGACAGGGAACTCAAGGCCCTCACATGAGCCCGCCAAATCAGAGAGCTCAGAGCCTGTCCACATCCTCAGCCCCGTATGAAACCCAGCAGCAAAATGAGAAACAGCAAAAAAATAAATCAAATGAAAAACATTAGAGACCAGCTATCGTCATGCAGGGGCTCTATGCATCACAGTCCCAGTCACTTTGCTTTAAAAGCAATTTTTGTTTTGTTTGAAAAGACACGACAAATTTTATAAGTGGAATTTTGAGGATTTTTTTTTTATGTAAAAAATAAATAGAATAACATGACCTCTCTAAATCAAAGCTTACAAAGAATAAAAGAGTGCTTTCAAATAGTCCCAGAAGAGAAACCTTTGAAGTGAAATGGCAAAGGCCTCTTATTGTGCTTCCTGAAATAAAAGTGTTTCAAATTTGCATCTAAACTTTTGAAAAGTAGGTTAAACTACTGAACTGCTTTAATTGCTCTGCAGAGCCGGTCTAAAATTACCTACAACATAACCCTACAATAAATGAGACTAGAGCCTGTGGCCAAAAATAATATTAATAAAATTTAGGTGCATGACTACAGTATATATATATATATATATACATGCATATATACACTGCTGTTCAAAAGTTTGGGATCAGTAATATTTGTAATGTTTTTTAAAGAAGTCTCTTCTGTTTATCATGGCTGCATTTATTTGATCAGAAATACAGAAAAAAAACTGTAATATTATTTAAAATATTATTACCATTTAAAGTAGTGGTTTTCTATTTTAATATACTTTAAAATATAATTTAAAGAATATCTCTTTGGATTTGAGACTTTAGTCTTTGCAACTTTACAGATCTTCTTTATGCATCAAGAGCTTGTAACACTCCAAAGAGAAAGGAAAAACTGAAATCGCATCATATGACCCCTTTAATATTTTTTGGAACCTTTTTCAGGATTATTTGATTAATAAAGTTAAATATTTTCTAACAATGTATTTTTTTATCACTTTTTTATCAATTGAACACATCCTTGCTGAATAAAAGTATTCTATTTTTTCACAAAAAATTCTGAATGGTAGTGTACTGTATATTGTTACAAAATATTAATATTTTGAATAAAAGCTGTTCTTTTTAACTTTTTATTCATAAAAGTATCCTGAAAAAAAGTATCACAGGTTCCAAAAAACATATATATTAAGCAGCGCAACTGTTTCCAATATTGATAACAAATCAGCATATTAGAATGATTTCTGAAGGATCATGTGACACTGAAGACTGGAGTAATGATGATGAAAATTCAGCTTTACATCACAGGAATAAATTATATTTTAAAGTATATTAAAATAGAAAACTGTTATTTTAAATTGCAATAATTTTTCACACTATTTCTGT